AGCATCTGGCGTGCGAGGGGCTTCCCTGGACAACCATTGTCCTCCAAATTGGCCAGGCGTCACGTTGGATGTTCTCAAACTGCCCGTCACTGACGTGGGGGCGGCCAGCTCCCCCCGTGGCTGGCACCCGGGACGGATGGATGAGGCCGGGAGGGCAGGCCCTGCGTTGTGCAGCCTGCAGGGCTGGTGCTGGTGGACGTGTCGCAAAGGCTCCCTGAGCAAATCGGCGTGGTCCTGTGGCCCAGTCCTGGGAGACCAACAGCTCTGCCCCTCGGGCTGGATCCCCCACAACATCAAGGCACCGGAGGAGAAGGTGATGGTGATTTGAAGGGGCCCCCCACAGGGGTGGTGGCCATCCCAGCCGTGATGCCTGTGAGCAGGTGGGCTGTGAGTTTGGGAGGGCCTTCCGCTGCCTCTGGAGCCCCCACAGGGCAGGAGGGTACCTGGAAAGGGTGTCCAATCCCATGGTGGGGGCGGGGCTGGTCTTGTCCTCAGAGGGAGGGGCGGGCAGGGGCTGTGAGCCTCCCAGAAGAGATCTCCACGTGCCCAGGACCTTAACCCTGGGCAACTCTGCTCATTTTCCACTCCTTTCCCCAAAACGGAACCTCTGCCCCTGAGCGCTAAGCACGGCCTGCCGATGGGCCATCCCTAGCGACTCAGTAGGGGACATCGGGGAACAAGATTCCATTTTATTCTCTTAATAAATATCACGGGTACCCTTGCCCGGGCAACTCGACAGTCTCCAAATAGCAGTGTTACAAAAATAGGTTTCTCTTCTTCGTCTTGTCGCTTTCTTTCTTTCCTCGGCCTCTGTGTTCTGCTGAAATATAGATGTTTACAGCAAGAGCCGGTCTCCGAGTAAAAAAATAAGATCCCACGATCTGATATAAAACGAGCCTCAGAGGACACCTGTGTCCCGCACGCCAGGCACCGGAAGGGAAGGGAACTCGGGCGCTTGGGTTCAATTCGATTCAGTGATGCAGCAAAAATGTCTTCAGAGACAAATATTCCCAACAACGGAGAGGAGGCGCTTTCTGCCTGGAGAGGGCGCTCCTGAGCGGTTTATTGGGACAGGAGTGAGTTGGGAGCCAGCAGCCCTGCAGAGCTGCCCGAGGACTTTTTGTTTTAAAAAGCAAACCCCCATGGTCCTGGCAAGGGTCTGCGGTCGGTGGGCCGGTGCGGTTCCTCTTGCCCGTGGTGCTGCGAGTGGCCGGTGGGCAGTGCTCAGGTGGAGGCCGGGCTGTCCATGGTGGACAGGAGGTGAGCGACCTGGGCCCGCTGGGCCGGGCTGATGTGCTCGCTCATGTACATCATGCAGTCCACAGCCACCTCGGGGTTCTCTTGGACCAGGCTGCAGGGGACAGGAGAGAAGGGTGGGGTCACCCAGCGTGGCCCTAAGAATCGCTGTGCAGGGCCATGTCACCTTCCTGGGGGGGCAAGAACCCCGAGCTCCCCAACCTCTTTCTGCTGTGGTCACCGTGGGGGGTGATGGTCCCGTGGGGGGCAGGAGGGAATACGACCTGGGGGTCAGGCTGCCTCGAGGAACGACAGGGGACCCTACAGGTCACTAGTGGTGTTACTGAGACCTGAACTTCAGCTTCATGCCCCAAACGGGGTCCCACATGTCTACTTCCTACCTCCCAGGGGACCCCATGAGAATAGGGGGGAGCAAACCATCCAGAAAGGCTGATACCAAATGGGAGCCAGCAGCCCAAGGCCTGTGGGTTCTCTGGCCATGACCTTGGACAAGCTGCTTTCTATTCCAACACGATCCTGAACTGAAATCCTCGCACACCCTTGCATGGCACCCCCAGGGCTCTGGGGGAGTCGCGGCCTCTTTCCGGGGGGCTGGGCCCAGGGCTGTGGTGGGGGCCTGGGGCCTGCAGTGTTGGGACAGGCAGCTGGAGGCCGATCCCAGCTCTGCACTTGCTGGTCAGTCCGAGGGATGGGCGGCCACTCACCCTCGGATGGTCTTGAGGACAGAATCCCGCTTCAGGTACTTGATGTTCTCGCCGATGGTGGAGCGCAGGCCGTCGCCCACCTGCCAGTGCTGCTCCAGCCACTGCACCACCATCTGGTTGTTGTCCCACAGGTAGGCCTGGGGGAGCAGGGGAGCAGAGGCTGCCTCAGGGGGGACCCACGGCTGCGCAGGCCCACCCAGCGCCCACCCGCCCGCCTCCGCCCTGGCCCACCTTGACGGCGCCCTCCGTCTCCACGAACCAGCGGCGCAGCATGGACTGGATGTGCACGTGGCTGAGCTCGCTGCTGACCTGCAGGATCTCCTGCTTCACCTGGTCCTCCAGCAGCAGGCGGCGCAGACGCCAGTACAGGAAGGTGCGCGAGGTCCTCCACTCCAGGATGTCCTGCGGGCAAGCCCAGGCCTGAGTCCCCGCTGCCTGGGGCTGAGCCGGCGCTGGGAGCGGGCTCTGGGATCATGCCCATTTCACAGGCCAGGAAGCTGAGGCCCGGGGAGGTGAAGACACCTGCCCGAGCAGTGGCAGAGCCAGAACTTTGCCAGAACGTTAGACGGGCTTCCCAGAGGCAAGGCGTAGCAGGTGACTGACTCTGGGACGGTGGGGCCCTGGGGCAGGGGTTGTGATGGCCAGAGGTGGGTGAACACGGGGCAGAAACCATGTTTCCCACATCCGGCTCAGCAGTTACAGCCACACACAGACTGGTGGTCCCAAACCTCCCTGCCTATTGAAATCTCTTGGGGATTTGGGGGAAAAATACTGATGTCAGACTCCCACTCCCGAAATCCTGATGTAACTGGTCTGGACATGGGCTCTGGGATGTTGGGAAGCTGCCAGGGCGATGCTGACAGGCAGGGTGAGCCCAGGTCTCTACCCTGAGCTGGAAGCCAGTGCCCGGCCATGGCCGCAGGTGCTTACGGAGATGACGCCCTTCTCCAGCATCCTGCCGGGCGTGTCGTGGAGGTCGGCAAACTGCACCGCCACCTGGTGGTAGATGGGCAGCAGCAGCTCCTCCCGGGCCTTCAGCCGGCCCTCCAGGTCCTTGCGCTCCTTGTCGGACAGATCAGCCACTCCTGCGGGCCAGGGCACAAACCAGCGTTTGCAGGAGGCCTGAGCTCTAACCGTGACTGCACCCCCAAACCAAGCTGCTCCTATAGGGTCAGAAGTCCCCCCAAAATGGCGAGATGGGGCCAACTTGCTACATGTGAACATTTAAAATCTCTCCCAAGCTGGTAGCTGTTTGGGTAGGTCTCCCACAGCGGCGTGGGCTGGGCCCCCCCGACCGCGGAGGGTGGCACATGGCGGACCCTCGCACCTAACTGCTCCACGAGCTTCTTGTAAGTGGGGTCGATCCTCTTCATGGCCTTTATCTGGTCTTTCTTTCGGAACTTAATCTCCACTGTTCCCTCCGGCTCCAGAACACCCCCCCTGAAAAAGCAAGAGGTAGGGGTGAGGTGTACGCGGGGTCCCCCTGCCAGTGACAGCCAGCCAGGAGACATGGGGTGGAGGCGAGGAACCAGGACGTCTGGGTGTCAGTTCCGAGCTCTTTCGCTGATTCGCGCTGTGACCCTGGGCCACTCACCTTCCCTCTCTGGTCCTCTGCTTCTATATCCGTACAATGAGGGGCTGAGCCTGTGTTTTAAATAAAGTTTCTGAACTCCAGGAGGCCCTTTCCGCTCTAAGTGTGTGACTTTTTCCAGGACAGTACAGCCCTCCGGCCCCTCAGCCGGTCCTTCCTGACCTTCCTAAATGCTGCTCTCCCCCAGCTGGGGTACCGTTTCTTATCTCCTTACAGCTCTCAACGGCACAATGAGGAGCCCAACCCGGTCCCATAGGAGCTGCCCTCCCATATCCAACCCTCTCACCCACCCCTCAGATTCCTCCGGCCCCCTTTTCCTGTGATAACCTGGAAGCCCTGAGGAATATTGTATGTAGCTCTGAGCTTCCTGGCAGCCAGAGCAAAAAGTGAATGAGGCTGCTCATGCCTGAGTCCTCCGGGAGGATCTGGGCACCCTGGAGGTGGGACAGGGTTAGCCGATCTGTGCCCTACCACAATGCCTAGCATTGCCTGGTATGTAGTAAGGTGCTTGATACATAGTCACTGAATGTATGGATGGATAAGGGCGTGAACACAGGACTAGGATGCCTGTATTTTGGGCAGAACTACTCTTAAGGCCTTTCTATCCTGTACAGCACCTAGCAGTGAGTCTTCACTCTGCCAAGGTTTCTCTCTCTGAAGACCTGGTATCCCGTCATGCGAGTCTTCATTCAGTCGTGTGTTTGCCGCTATTTCTCAACCACCCAGTAAGTGGGACTGTGCCAGGCAGGCCCTGGGTTATAAAACTGGACAAAATGCAGCCCCTACAGGAACTCAGAGCTGTGGGAGAGACTCAGAGTTCAGTGAGAACCAGCTGACTGGTTCTCGCTGGTCTTATTTCCCCTTTCATCCTGGCTGCCAGGTAGCTCAGATGCTTTTGGTCTTTCCTTACTTGATTGCAAACTTCCTTGGGAAGCAGAGGAGTGTAAGTTAAGAAAGAACAGACAATTCTTCCACCACCTCTCTGCTTCGGCCACTTGCTCTAATGAGAAAAACCCAATTGGATACTGGACACGAGTTTCAGGTTAAACTGGAAGCGCTCCATCCTTCAGAAACAGAGCGCCCCTGAGATCCCAAGCCGGTGGCTCAAAGGTGAAGGGGCCTCCGACTGGCAGAGAGAATGAGAGAAGGCTGAGCCGGGCTGAGGGCGACACACCCACCTGCTCTCTTTGTCTGCGTACATCTCTATGCACAGGGGGTTGATGGTGGAGTCCAGGACCACCCAGGAGCCGCCCCGGAGCTCCGCGTAGGGCGGGATGTAGATGAGGATGGGCTGCTTATACTGCCGGAGGCCGTCCACGATGTAGGCCCCGAACTTCAGCACCTGGTCATACATATCTGAAAAGCAAAGCGACTGCCCCGTGAGGCGGCTCCAGCCCAGAGCTCAGCGCAAGCAGAGTGTGTCGTTCTGGGGGCTCTGGGAAAGCGTGTGCGGCTGGGAGGCTGCCGGGCTCTGTGAAAAGAGACCCGCCCAGGCACAGGGGCTCAACCATCTGTGTGGTGGTTGTTTTTTAAATATATTTTTATTAGTTTCAGAGAGGAAGGGAGATGGAAAGAGAGATAGAAACATCAATGATGAGAGAATCATTGATCAGCTGCCTCCTACACGCCCCACAATGGGGATCCAGCCTGCAACCCAGCCATGTGACCTCCCGGTTCACAGGTCAACACTCAACCACTGAGCCACGCCGGCCAGGCTCAACCACCTGTTTTCTAACAGGGGCGATGTGTCCGTGCAACCCGGGAACAGTCGCTCTCCCTGCCTGGGCCTCCATGTCCCATCGCAAAGGGAAGCATGAGGGCATCGAGCGCTAAGGTCCCTTCTGGCTCTGACTCTGCCACACCCTGTCCCACGTTCCCAGCCACAGACACACAGTCCCTTCTGCTCTTACTTCCCAAGGGACACCCAGGTATGTCCCTCCACGTGCCAGACACCCTCCATGGTCACATTAACGCAATAATAAAGTCAACTGTAACCACATGGGTCCGAGAGGGGCCCATCGCAGCCTGACCTTGGCCCCCCGAGGTTGGCCCTATTCATGTCCCCCTCCTCAGAGGCGGGAACTGAGGCTCAGAGAGGTCGCCCAGCTAGCGAGGGCACACCCCAGGTCTGCCCACCTCCCAGGCCAGCTCTTTCCTCCACACCCCGCTGACAGCCACTGTACCTGCCAACATGCTTGGGGCTGACTGCCGGCCACAGAGGCTCCCAGCAGCCCCCCGAGGAGGGCGGGGCAGACACATCTCCTCATCTTACTGAGCGGGGACCACGGAGCTGACTGCCCCATCCCTCGGCAGCTTCTGGGATGCCCCTCCCCGCCCTGCCACTCACCGCGTGACCTCAGGCAAGTCCCACCAGGAACCCTGTTTCCCATCTGTGAAATGGGCTGTTTCCAGAACTGCTCCCATTCTCAGGGTTGTGCCGGGGGCTCAGCTAAGACGACGATGGGACCAGACACAGAAAACACAGTATCGCCACCCCAAGGGGGTGTCCTGGGTGCTGGCCCTGCGGTTTCAGGGCACCCACGGGGGAGGCTGCCTCACCTTTCATGCCACCGGAGAAACCCCTCCAGTTGGCAAAGATCATCAGGGGCAACTTCTCCTGGTTGAAATCCTTGATGACCTGGGCCGTCTTGTAGGCAGAGTCCGGGAACCACACCTGGCCCGCCTGCTGGGTGATCTGCAACACAGCCAGCCGCCTGAGCCGCCTCTGGCAGGGGCGGCCTCGGGACCTGGGACGGGCGGGCACCCTGACCAGCGTGGGCACCAGCACCAGAGCCAGGCTCACAGGGAGGGCGCCTCCCACTGCAGCACAGAGAGGTCCTGATGCCCGTTTACAGGATCAGAGTGGCCTGAGCTCATCAAGCCAGAGGGATGGGCGAGAGGCGGGAGGGATTCCCGGGACCCTCTGGTATCCTCTGAGGAGGAAGGAAGCTGGTGTGGAAGATTCTGCCAATGCAATTAGGGGGCTGGGGAAATGGCAGAGTCCCAGGCTGTCTCCTCCGGGCCTCTGAGCTGGAGAGAGCTGGTGTGGAAGGTCCTGCCACTGCAGAGAGGGGGCTGGGGAAATGGCAGAGTCCCAGGCCGTCTTCTCCGAGCCTCTGAGCTGCAGAGGCAGGTTCGCAGCCCCCAGGACCCACACCTGTGGCTGAGCCCACAAATCAGCAGCCCCAGCCCCCGGCCCCTCACCTTGGCCTCGGAATCCAGGTTGGCAGGGTCTGCAGGCACCACCACCTCCACCGTCCGCGTCTCCACGGCGATCACGCCGACAGGGATGCCACCCAGCCTGTGAGGCGGAGCACAGGTGAGCGGGTGCAGGGTGCACCCCCAGGCAGTGCAGGGAGCAGTGGGGCCCACCCAGCCCAGCTGTCACGCTATGGGTGTCCTGGGAGTGGGCAGCGGTGGCGGGGAGGGAGGCTGGCAGGGCCAGTGCTGCTGTCACTGCAGGGGGTTTACTGGACGGCAACGCAGCTGCCCAAAGCAGTAAGCGCCCCGCGAGCTGGCAGCTGGAAAGGTCCCGTGGTGCTCGCTGGGGCCACGGTCACCACGGGAGGGGAGGGCCCGCCAGTGACGGCCTGAGGTAGCGCTGGCTGCGAGGACTCCCCAGGATGATGCCACGTTCTCTGTGCCACAAGCCACACGGGGCTCTGAGTGCTTGGAATGTGGCGAGTACGACCGAGGAACTGACACGTCACCCCCTTTTGTTTTCACTCATTTACACTGGGGTTGCATGTGGCCAGCAGCCACCACGGTGGGCAGCACGATCTAGACACCAAGTCACATTGGGAAAGGATGGAGGGACACTGAGCCCGAAGGAGCTTTGGCACAGGGGATGCGTGACAGCTGCCACGGTCACCCCCGGACACGCTGCCCCGTGCCATGTGACACTGGATTACTCTTTCCTGTCGCCCAACAACCCCGTGAGGCAGGTGAGGGGAGAGTGAGCTTCCGATAAAGGAAGGGCCTCCTGAGATTGCCTCCCAGGTTCTAAAAAATGTTTTTAAAGTGAAACCCTCATGCAGAAGCGACTGGTGCCAATACCAGGCTTCGTAGGTTACTACTGGCTGCCGGGGGCTGAGTAGTAACAACAATGATCATGACCAACAGCAGCCGCTCCCACTTACGGAGCATTTATGATGTTGGTTAAGTGCTTAACGTATGTGATCGTCATCACAGTCTCCTGGAGGTAGAATTCTCACCCCCATTTTACAGGTGAGGATGTGAGAGCCCAGAGAGGGTAAGTGACAGAGCGGGGGCTGCACCGCAGGGCCAAGTCCCCAGCCTGGACGCGAAGCAGCTCCATCGTGCCAGGCGTCTGCGTGGTGGACTCTGAGGATGCCGCTTAGGGCTCCATAAAGGGTGGAACTCCCCCTCAAGCCCCTGGCGTCACCTGAGGAGATGATGGCTCCACCGCTGGGGAGTGAGCTGCTCAGCTCTGAGAGCATTCAAGCAGTTAAGCCTTTCACAAGCTATGCTAGACAACAGGATTCCTGTCCATGGCCCTCCCAAAATGGAATCCCGTTGTGTCTGTGTGGTTTTCTAGCCAGACTCCCAGGGCCACCTGCTATGCTGGACAACAGGATTCCTGCCCGTGGCCCTTCCGAAATGGAATCCCGTTGTGAGTGTTTGTGTGGTTTTCTAGCCAGACTCCCAGGGCCACCTCTGAGTTCCAAAGGGGTCTGTGGCCCCCGGGGCTGGAGCGCCCTGTCCCAGGGGTGGACCAGGGGCAAGGATCCCAGCCCCCAGCCAGAAGGTGCCCGAGATGCCTCCCAAGGA